ACTTTACTTAGCTTATCGGTTAGCGGGTTTATTAGTAAAATTCGCTAAAATTTGGTAATTTTCGGGCATAATTAATTTGGTCCGGAGGCCGGGTTACACGAAATGGTAAAATTTTTTGGACATCACTAACCTACTAAAATTTATTAGCTATACGTAACGGATTTTCAAATTCAAATAATAGGACGGTCCCTCCTGAAGGGGTATAGCATAGAATAAAGACGCATCAATTCCTGAATTTTGTAGCATAAATAAACGATTAAAAAAGAATCTTAATTAAATATACATTCTTAGTTTGGCAAGCTGAACGAAAATATACAGATACAGCTTGACGGCTCTTTTACTTCACCTATTATGAGTTTTACGTAATTTCACTTTAAATCTTCAAACTTGCTTTTTTTACGCGACGAGATAAATTAAATTCTTTCTCTTATAGTAATGACAGCCATGATCCTAAACGCGTCGAAGTTACTTATAATGACATGCCTGCAATTAATGATGAACTACTTATTAAAGAAAAGACGTTTCGACAATATGCGAATTTATATTTTATACGATTATTAGGCCTGAGAACTGATGTATTAAATTCCGCACAAAAAAAATGGGGATCCAGTTTAGGATTAAATGGTGAATTCTCAATTTCACGAAATTATTTGAAAAATTTCGCGTCATGTCCATTTAATTTATTATTAATTTATATTTTTTTAATTATCGTTAATTAAAAAAGTTAATATGGTTAACAAAATTTTGGACGTAAAGCTTGGTGTGACGTGTTGTATCGTCGGAACAGTTTATACGGAAATGCGTTTCAAACCAAATATTCTTGATGAAGTTACTAAAGAAGTAAGATTTAATAATATAATTTTTTAAATTGTATTTTAGTGTTATATTTAAAATTTTATCATTTATTGTTTAGCATTGGGCACCACCGTCTCCACCACGTCTAAAATATTGTAGTACGGATGATGAATTCTTTTTAGAAGACGAATCAGGAAGAATCAAATTGGTAGGCGATATTCTAAAGCGAGAAATTATAGTAACAGGTATGCTCTAAATGATTTTTAAAATTGAGTAAGGGAATTTATTTACACTAAACATGTTTCAATTTCAGGTTTAATAATGGCAGTGTTAGGGAAAGAAAATTCTGAAGGAAGTTTTGAAGTATGTGACATATGTGTTGCTGGACTTCCATATCAGCCACCAAAGCCAATAATTACAGGTATAGTGACCAACTTTATATTGTTTGACATTGATCGGAATAATAACATGTATTTTGTTTTCTTTTAAGATGATAAATATATCGCGCTTATAAGTGGAATGAATATTGGACCAAATTCTTCATCAGCATTGCAATTACAACTTATGACAGAATACCTTACTGGCGAATTAGGAAATTCATTCGTAAGGATAAATGACAGCAAAATCGGTCGAATTTTTTAAAAATTAGTGCTTCATGTGTTTTATGTGATATGTGATTAATAAGATATTAAATAATTAGGTGCAAGATTATACATCAAAAATAGCTCGAATGATAGTTGCTGGTAATAGTTTGCAGGAAGCAAAAGTAGTTGAAGATGAGAAGAAAGAAGTATGTGGTTCAAGGAACAGATGTATATATATATATATACATTTTTTTTTTTTTGCAATATGCTAATAATGTTTATTGAATATTTATTTAATAGAAAAAGTATGGGTATGATAGCTCATCATACAATGCTCAACCGATTTTTGATTTAGACAATATCCTTAATGAAATTTGTTCAGAATTACCCGTTGATTTAATGCCAGGAAGTAATGATCTAGCAAATACATTTTTGCCTCAACAACCTTTTATATCCAGTTTGTTACCAAAAACTTGTCAGAATTCGAGTTTTCGCCGCGTTACAAACCCTTATTGGTGCGGGATTGACGGTGTTGTGTATGTTGGTTTTTTTTTTAATGCAGAATTATATATTGCTAGTTCTGAATTGAGTTTATTTATTAGGTTCCTCGGTACATCAGGTCAAACAATTGATGACATTGCTAAATACGTAGAAGATGAAGATAGACTTAAATTAGCAGAGCAAACGTTACATTGGAGACATGTTGCACCGACTACACCAGATACACTTTGTAAGTTCATTAATCTGATAATTAGTTCCTTGACCATATGATGGCGACTTATTATTAGGATTCAATAATTAGGGTGTCATCCATTCAGAGATTACGATCCTTTTATAATGAAGCAAACACCACATGTATATTTTATCGGCAATCAAAAAGAATTTGCTACAACTATTATAAAAGGTAATTGATCTTTGTATAAAACGTATAAAATAAATATATAATCTTATACATTTATTAATAGGGCCGGAACAACAGTGCGTACGAATAATTTTATTGCCATCTTTTGCTGAAACTGGGAATATTGTTTTAGTAAATTTGAAAAATCTTGAATGTCATACAATATCTTTTTCATCTACATTTTAATTAATCATATACATAATTGTGTCAATAATTATAAAAAAATTTAAGGAAGATTATATTTGTAAATGTTTTGAATATTAATATTACAATTATTTTTTTGAAAATGAAATAATCTTTTACCACTATTAATAAACATATAAGAAATATTCTGATTTGAAATATATCGATATTAGATATTTTAAACCTTGTCGTCGTAGATTCTCGCATCTGCGCGTTATTTTGAAATAAAGATCGATTTTTTCTAGTTGTGAAGAATCTTCACGATTGACACAATAAGCAAAAGTTCTACAGTGACAATGTTCGAATTTTATTGTATTAGTCAAACTTCAATTGACCGTGAAGATTCTTCACGCGCTATTTTCGGAATAACATCCATGCCATTAATTTCGAGAATTTATGTTTCCAAGATCTTAGTTTCATTCCGCTAAACTTTAATTAATTGTATGAATAACACATATGGGTTGTCTCGAAATAAAATAACGCACACGAGTGTTATTTCGTGACTATACAGTATATTGTTATCTACATACTAGTGTTACAAATCGGCAAAATTTTTTCAATCGATTAGTTGGTTAATTATTTTTCCAGTTGGTTGCAACTAATCGATTAATCGACGAGTTGTAACTAATCGATTAATCGATGAATTGCAACTAATCGATTAATCGATTCATCGATTAGTTGCAACTAATTCATTAAGTAAATAAATAATTTTTCATTTGATTCATTTTCAACAATCGATTAATTCTTTAGTCAATTAGTTGCAACTAATCGATTAGTCGATTAATCGATTAATCGATTAGTTGGTGTTCGATTTGTTGTCAACTAACCAACTAATCGATTTTTTCAACTTTCGATTTGTAACACTACTACATACTTAACACACTTCTTTTTTTTTTTTTTTGTATCGACTCATTAAAATCGCATTTCTAAATAGTTTTTCACAGGAGTATATTTATCAACAATAATTAAATTAAATCTATTAAATAAGGACCAAGTATCATAAGTAAATTGATCTAATCTAATATTTCATTTGTAATATTAATTTTATGACCGATTCTCCTTCATTGAGGATTTTAAGATGCATACAGCAGCGTTTGTCCTTTGTGAGATCATTTTTATGTCTAATTAAGCTTACAAAGATCAAGTTTTAAATCATAAATTAGACAAAAACAAGCACCTTTTGTTAGTATGCAGAAGCACACTACAACAATTTCATAGTATGCACGTACGTACCAGAATGTCCAGTTATTTCTAGTATCTAAAATAGCACTAACGATAATTACGACAACCACATAACCAAAGTCGACCAGGATTGTTTTATTTTAATTTTATATGTTCATAGAATAAAAAATTAGAAAAATTTTATCGAATTTAATTTGGTTATTTTTGTGATATCGCTAGTGCTATTTTAGATACTAGAAATAGCTGGACATTGTCACGTATTATTCTGTATGTTTTCCTATCGTTAATAGTTTCCAGACTGATGCAATTTTTCATTGTTTAAGTCCGGACATTTTAATCGTCGATTATTTAAATCCGAGATTTTTTGCATAATTTTAGTATATATAGCATTTATTTATTACTATATAGTTGTTATATTTAAGACTCGACGCTTTCTATTTTTGACTTAATAACAATACAAGGATAATATATATGGCTAGCGTCAAAAAAAATTATTACGTACGTACGTACGTAAGTAGAGGCCATCGATTTGAACATCAAAGTGGCGTGATGTATTGTTTTTTTCCTCTCGCTTCATCGATGAACACTATTGTTCTCGGTATGACTAGTAGAAACAATGCAACAAAGGAATTCGGTTAAAAAGTATTAACTTGATTCATTTAAAAATCAATAAAAAAAAAAATAAAAAAAGTTTTTATTTTATTTTATTTTATTTTTTTGCTTGTATTTATGGAAACAATACATTTGTTAGTTAAATAATGTATGTGCATTGTTCTCTGCAGATGACTCAAAAAAGTTGAAATTTCTCCGGAAAATTCATGCCGGAAAATTGAATTCGATGAATCTTAATAATTGTTATTATAAAAAAAAAAAAAAAAGTATTGTTTTTTTAAAAAATATAAAAAAAAACATTGTAATAATTATTATGATATATATAACATTTTAATAGCATTACCAAAGACATTTCCGCATTCATCGGATTTAAACCACGAATTGTTAAAAACATTATAGCTTTTGTTGAACGGTCAAGAATGAATGGATACATGATTTATAATTTGCATTCATTCATATCATAGGAACAATGACATTAAAATGAATTGAATCTTGCTGGTTCACAGGATGATTTTCAGACAATACTAGATAAAGATACTGTAACATTCACCAATTATGTTCAATCTCACATGTTTTTGTCAACAAAACATTTAAATACAAATGGCTTTTTTTTTGTCTCTTGAATAAAAAAACCCGAATTCTTGTAAATCTTATTTTCTAATATCGTTTCATAAAAACTTAATTTTGAAAAAAAATGTCACAACGAAGCAGACTCGAAAATGTGCCGATTTTCGCGCCTTTCCCTCAAACCAATATTTGTATTCCAAATGACAATCTTGTCAACCAAATTATTGCGTCCATTGATCCTACAATACTTTTAAAGATCAGGCAATACACTTATCTAGAAATTAAAGATTTGATCGCACCTAAACCAAAAAAGAACCGTAGCAGACAAAAAATTCCACGTCCACAAAACCCTTTCGTGATATTTCGTAGGAACGAACAAGCGAAAATGTTATCCGGCTTGGATCCAAAAATGAAAGAATCGATGCTTGCCTTTGTATCAAAAGCCGCTGGAAAAGATTGGAAGATTGCTAACGCTGAAGTGAAGAATGTATTTAACTATTTGGCTCAATTGGCCAAAAAAGTTCATGAAGAAACTTATCCTGATTATGTTTATCAACCAAGAAAGAAATTTGATAGATCCAGTTTTCAAAACTCTACAGTACGCAATGGCTATTTGATTAATTCTCCCATTCCAGAGTTCCAATCCCCTCCAGGTTATTTAGTTTTTTGGCCTGAAGGTCAACATTCAAGTCATGCAAATAATTATCACTCTACTTCAACTTCCTTGGATGAAAACCGGGATGTCTGGTCCGATTCTTCTATATTTCCCTGCTCTCATTTATCATCAAAACACCTACCTTCTATTTGGTCATTGGTCGATTCGGCCACTCCTAACGCACAAAAATCTACAATTTTACCGTGTTCATCAACTTTTGCACATTCTACTTCATCTTCAACATTATCTAATAATCAGTCAGAAATGAGATCGTCCCTTTTTAAACCTTTATCAATTTACAGTGGATCACCCACTCTTGACCCATCAGGTTCAAACCGTACTTTGCCACCACTTGAAGTTGATATATCTAACTATACAACAAACTATTATGATAGAAATCTACTCACTTCTTTATTAGTTTAATTCATATATATATACGTTTTATTATTTTGGAGTTTGATTTTGGGATTTAATTAATGTTTACCACTTTCTCACCTTTCTCTAATAAATTTTGAAAAAAAAAGCATAACAGCAATAAATCTTTTCATGGCATATTGTTTATAGTTAAATTCATTAAAATTTACGAATAATTATAATCAATTTGATTGTAGTTCTATGTTGTACATTTTAAAAGTTCTGATATATTTTGACCTTGCCCCGTCATAGCAATGACCAACTTTTATTTAGCTTATATATCAAAAAAAACGTCAAATACATGTAAAATTAAATTTTAAAAATATTTTTTTTTTAGTAAAAATTTGGACTATCGACGTTTTGTTAAATTCACAATCCATTTATAACTTTTTTTTTCCTAATTTACTCAAGTAGATCCTACCAGACGAGTATACGTGGCAAATATTTTGACGATATTCAATCAAGAACTTTATAGGAATCTACTCTATTACAAGTAATCATTTATCGGTTATACGTAGAAGTTTGGATTGTATTTGCTATATAAACCATTCCCGAATAGGAACAAAAAAGGAACCAAAATTATAACATGATGTCTATCGCTATTGAGATCTGCGAATGTATTAAAAAAAATATACCGATACGAGTATCAATATCGATGTCGCACGCTTGGCTATATTACGCGAACAGGATTAATGGAAGTAATTTCAAAATGGTCGCAAATTGTCTTGCCAATTATAACTAGAAAAAAGGATTACTTTTTTGCAAAATTA